TCAAAAGAAAAATATGGGTCACCAAACGTCCAAGATCGTTAAATCCAGGCAAAGCTATAGCAATGGCCATCTGCCCGATGACTGTTCATTTTATTACTTAGCGCGCGCATTGATGCATGACGCGGCGTGTGAATTTGCGTGCGCAGTAAGGATGCGTAGAAACAATTTGGGCGAACGTCCTCAAGAGACAAATTACGTCACGTGACCTGTTTAGCTCATTATCTCTTAAATCCTTGCCAACCATCATCCGACCAGAATCATTAAAGGGACAGCCATATAAATACCATAACGTTTCGATATATATTCATTATCTGCCATCTCAGCGCTCCATTTTCACAACTCGTTCGTGAGTTTTCAGTCCCTCAGTTATTATTATTATTATTATTATTATTATTATTATTCAGCGAGTGTAAAAACTTTTACCGCTGTAGAATCAGGTCGCTGAAGCTTTAAGCCGTGTGTTGCAACCATTTATGAATTAATGGAAGAGTTTACTCCCTGGCTCGCGTGCAAGTACAGACTTTGTTTTAATGGTTCAATTTTAGGCGCGTGCGTAAAAGCGTCAACCTATAGAAAGTCGAACTGTAGAGCAAAGTCTGCCGTTTCGACAGTCATTTCTGAACGATTTTCTGCACTATAAACGTCGAGGTTTTTTGTTCTGGGATCCATTACAACAGTCTTCATTTCATCCGATACGACAATAAAATCCTTCAGACGAGAATAATAGCTCAGAAACTCGGCCGGTGTTGAGGAACTTTTGTAAAAAGTAAACAAATAAACCTCCTGAGCCAGTGTGAAGAAATCAACGTGAACTTACCCGAAAAGCTTCTGAACTTTTGCGCAGAAAAAGACAAATAATCAAACCTTGTGCCCGGGATCTCTCTTCTGACTGAGCGCGCGAAAAAAAATCGGCCTGATCTCAGCTTACCACTTCGGAAATTTTGTTCGTTCGAGATGTGTTATATACATGTATGTACGGTATCACGAATGTTAATTGTCGCCAGGCTCGATTTCGTTTGCTACTGGCAATGTACAACCCTGAAGTGAACAGTTTTACCCTGTCAGAATCTAGTAATTTCAACTGTTTATCCCAGGTATTTTTAGAAGTATTTCTGCATCAAAGTAACATCACTGCGCACGCTACTGTCATAGCGACTCACAAGTATCCAACTCGAAATTTACTTGGAGGTTAAAAATATAAATCTTAAGTTCAATTTCTTCTTACAACTTAAAAATGCGTTGAGACAGACAACTTAAAAAAGACAACGTCGACAGAATCCACGTGTTTGCGAAAATTGCAGATTTTAGGTTTTCCAACAATACACGTTTTATTTTCGTTCCCAGCTTTACGCCCTCCCTAAAGCAGATTAAATTTTAAACAAAACTGTTTTCGTTTTCTCGCGTGCGGAAAATTAGGTTGACCTTTCTCTCAAATTTCGAAGTGACCGTCAGTGTTTCTACACTATCATGGCCATGCCTTCGGAAACTTTTTTTTTACTCTTAAATTTTATCCTTGTAATTCTCCATCCTTCGGCTAAATTCTTTTAAATGGAAAGATGCTTAACTCCGTCACTTTTTGCTCTGACTGATTCCCAAATCAAACGCTGTCAAGCAGTTTCGCAATCAGGCGCGGGTTGTGCAAAAATATTAATTTCAGGAGCCCATGGCTATGAGCGCTTGTTTATTTTAACTTTTCTTCAGCTAGAGAGATCCATCCGACTCGGGATGAAAAGTATCGGGAAACACCTACCTCTATGTCTTCTATAGCCGGTTTTTATTCTTCAGTTCTTCTCTTCTATGCTCTGTCGACTGCCAACGATTTGCACACACGGATAATTAAAATTACGTCACAGTGACGTAACAGAAGACTAATGATGTTGACGAAATTTGTCAAATGGAATNTGACCTTTCTCTCAAATTTCGAAGTGACCGTCAGTGTTTCTACACTATCATGGCCATGCCTTCGGAAACTGTTTTTTTTTACTCTTAAATTTTATCCTTGTAATTCTCCATCCTTCGGCTAAATTCTTTTAACTGGAACGATGCTTAACTCCGTCACTTTTTGCTCTGACTGATTCCCAAATCAAATGCTGTCAAGCAGTTTCGCAATCAGGCGCGGGTTGTGCAAAAATATTAATTTGAGGAGCCCATGGCTATGAGCGCTTGTTTATTTAATTTTTCTTCAGCTAGCGCGATCCATTCGACTCGAGATGGAAAATATCGGGAAACACCTACCTCTATGTCTTCTATAGCTGGTTTTTATTCTTCAGTTCTTCTCTTCTATGCTCTGTCGACTGCCAACGATTTGCACACACGAATTAAAATTACGTCACAGTGACGTAACAGAAGACTAATGATGTTGACGAAATTTGTCAAATGGAATGGT